AGCTTAGTCAGATCGACTGATCGACTGTTTACATGAATGCTTTTCTGTCAGACTATTCAGAATCTGATTGGATTATTGGTGGATTATTAGGTTGCATGTAAACGAAGCCAGTTGTGAACAGAGGCCTAAAATAGACCAGCAATTTTACATAACTGCCTTTCAATATTGCCTTGTCATTAGTTTTCAAGCTTATTAAAAAAGACTGTCAGTACTGTTTATGTACATGTATAAATACAGGAAAAACTAAATCTGTGATCTCATAATCACTGTCCACATGAGCAGAATCCATGATTTTAATATCGCTATAGTTGTTTAAAGTGATTGCATTATTTGAGTCAGCTGCCATGACTGTAAAACTAGGTTTAAATGTTTGATACACAGTGAAATGCAGACAATTAATTTCATTACAAAAGATCCACAGCACTCCCAGTCTATTTTGTTGTGGTAGAGCCACGATCAATGGCACTATTATTATTTGTAGTTATGTAAAGGCAGTCACACACTAAAAATATAAGCTTCTCTTTCATGAAACACTGTTTGCTGTAGCGCTACAGGCTCGGCCACCACTGAGAGCCAGAACTCATACAAACATACATCAAACAGCAAAATCAAGATCAAATAGAGCCCAAAGTGTTTAATAATGACGAATATCAAGTCTAGTAATGCTTTGCAAGTTCAATGCATTTTTTTCTGTTAATCAACAAGATGTAAGCATGCAATAAGTGGGTTAATAGCACACTGAAGTGAATCCATGTCACTACTGAGGTGGAAATCAAAGTTAACATGAGCATTACATAGCACTAGCATTACTTTTAGAAACCAGATTTTTCAGTAATGATCATTCGAGCTGTCATCTTTATGCTTTTTAGTTATAGCTCTTCTGGACACAAAAGATCACCACTTTCACTTATTTCCTCAAAATTTTTTATTTCTGTATCTTTACACTTTATATCTCTGAATGAGACAATGAGACTATGTCTTATTTTGAAACTGTTAGAGTAAACTAGTGGCACAGAAGTGACACTTTACCTTCATCAAAAGACAGGTTTGTATGCGACTGATAACGGACACATTTCTCATTACAAGGAAAACAGTGCAAAAATGACAAGAAACGGAAATTGTTGATTTGGCCTTTGCATAAATGTAATTTTCAATAAGTAGAACTTTTCAAACTGCTGACAAAGTTAGCTACGTTCAAATTCCTGTGAGGTAGCAAAAGATAATTACACACTAATTAAATGACTTTGAGCTGATGGAAGTCATTTAAGAGAGGCTGCAAGCAGCTCATTAGGTCAAATAATCATATTTGTAAAAAGGAGGATGGAAAAGTAGACTGACAGAAGAGCAAGAGGTGTCAAAATCTGAATTAACGCAAATGAGTGCTGAAAAAACCCTGGGCAGCTGCCAGTCGCTTTGATGTGTGTTCAAAAATCACCTCAAAAGATCGAACATTCATATCAGTGGAATCAATTTAATCCTAGTTTAAAACTCAAACAAGCATTTTACCAACCACATCTTGTGTAAATATAATGACACATGGTCACACTAACAACAACCTTGCTGCTATTAAGCATATTTCTACAAAGTTATTAAGTCGAGATGTACGCAGCTGTAATGCAGACTGCTTCACTTGTACATACTGTGTATAAATAGTCTCTGCATCATGTATAGATCCATTCCACAGTGACTCTTATTTTCTGTTGTTACATGTGACTGTTACATCCTTAACGAACTGATCATCTACTGTCAGACATCAGACATCTGATCAGACATCATTGCCATCAAATGTGTTTGGATGTAGAATGTCACAGCAAATATGTGGATTTCCAGTCATTTGCTGTTTAAGGCAAAACGAAGACTAATTATGGCTCCAAATATGGGCAGTTCTCTTTATCTGTGGATTGAACTGTCATGAACCATGTGATACATATGAAACAGAAACATATCATATTATGGATAGAGATATTTCATCATTGGTATAACAATAAATACATTAGGTAATGGTGAAATACGGTTTAAAATAAGAAATAAAGTCATGAGATAGGAAGTCACAATTACAGGAAATAAAGACACAATTACGAGAAATAAAGTTCCAATTGTGAGAAAAAATTGGTCATTTTCACAAGTGTCACAATTATGATAAAGCTGCTATTGAGAAAAAGGTTTGAATTTTGACAAACAAAATTACAATTTTGAGATATAAAGATACAAGTAATAAAGTTGAAATGATCAATTTCAAGTTCAAATTATGAAATAAGTTAAAAATAAACCAAAGAAAACGTCACAGTTAATGATTTATTTTTTTAATGCTGAAGTAGAAACAGGCTTTCATAGTTTTACCTCCTACTATTAATTAAATTTGTATTATTTATATGAATCTATTCATGTTCATGTACCCAGCATTTTCAGCAATCAGTGTGTCAAAATGGCTGAAATGTCCTGCATGTTACATATATATGATGTGCATAAAAAAAAATGTAAACAGCATTTTTATAAATAAATGTTCTATAATTATTGTGCATGCCATATTCACATGCTCATATTACTTGATGAACTGCATTCAGTACTTGTACTTGAGTTTTTCTACCTAAAAATAATTTGTCACACCACAGGATAACTGAAATGATATTAAGTTAAAAAAGTTATTCAAAATAGTGAAAAACAACAGTGAAAAGTTTAATTATCTAAAATATATGAACATTACCATCTAAAAATAAAAGGGATTTTAACTTAATATCATGTTCAAGTCTATATGACAATACATTTGGTATGTTCCATGTTTCTAAACGTAAAAATAAAGATATACTGTATGAATGCCTTACAGTAAAGTGATGCTGTATGTCCCACACACACTCACAATGAATGACACCCTTCCTCATTTTCAGCCAATCAGTAGCTCTTATGTTATATAGGCGGAGACTGTAAATTTAATCTTCCAGGACACCGGCAGTGACCTGTGCATTTCCTTAATGCATCCCTGGACAAAATGACAGTCTAGGAAATCCTTTTTCTCATCTGTTCCACAACAGCATAAAAACATGTCCTGTCAAAGACGCATGAATCACTGCAGCAGTCGCTCACTGATGGAGCGGAAGTCACCTTGATAGAGTCCGCAGGATGCTGGATACCTGAGCTGTGTGTGTGTGTGTGTGTGTGGGTGTGTGTGAGCTAGTTGTGTTCTTGAGTAATGATTGCCAGTTCAAAGGAGCTCACAGCAATGTGATAAATATGGTAGGAACTGATTCTGTTAAAAAGAAAAAAAAATTTGGTGGAAAAGCAAAATAAGAAAATATCAAAGGGTCAATTAAACCACATAACTGCCATTCCTCTGATCTTTCAATCTCCAATTATGAAAAATTAAGAAAAAAGGTAAATGAAAACAGCTTATAGGCATCACATCCAGATGTTTTTCAAGATCAGAAATGAATGCTATGATGTTATAAACCAATTAAACTAGTCAAACTAGTTAAGAGTGTGAAGGTCATTAACACACATTCAACACACAGTCTAATTAAACATTAGGTCATTGAGATGAATGAAGACATCTGTAATAAAGCAAGGGTTGAATAATGGAGTTAATTGCCGATGAACTTGATGTGCAAAAAATGACTTTAGATTAGGTGTTTGATTGTCTGTGATGTTTCTGATGCAGTACCTAGCATGATACAAGGTCATAACTGGAAGGGAAAAAACACTGTCATGTATGGGGAAAAGGAGGAATGAGGAATGATTTTATTCTTTTCTACTTTGACCTTTTTCTAAAATGTCAGCATGGGAACGTTTGCCTAATATAACTGAAATACAATTTCTGTCTGTTTTAAGACAATTTGAATAACCTGCAGTGTCACTCAAACATGAATCTGTGTCTTGAAAATCTATGAACTATGCAAACGTCTTTTTAACAAAGGGTATGGCCCTTGTGTAGTTTTTTTCTCCCCATGTGCTGCTCCCGGATTTACTCCATGGGAAAAGAAATCTATTTCTATTTTGGGTCTCTACGTCATTCTTTTCAACTTGGCCCACAACTCCACCCATCACTGAATGTTCTGTTGAAGCATTTTAGAGCTTTTCAGACACTTGCATAATCGCTGCAAGTGTTTTATAGTTTGGAGTATTTGAACAATTACATCATAAGATGAGTGCTACAAATACCGTTTAAAATGAAGCACAGTCTAACCAGGAATGAGAAGAATCTGAAATGTAGAGAGCAATTGCGCTTTGTGCTCCAATAACTTTGTAAATCAATAAAATACCAATGAAATTACAAACTAACTTCAACGCAACTAAATGTTGCCACCAAAGATTATGCGAAGAACGGTTTGTTTAAACTTTGGATTTGGATGTGCATTCCCATAATAATTCCAAATGTGTACATTCATAAACAGCCCTCTATGGCAAGCTGTTTTTGCATTTAGCCCTTAAATGAAATGTATCTCTTTTTATGTTACTAGTACACTTTGCCTACATTTATTGTCCAGTCAAGCACCACTTGAAAATGCAAAAATGTAATTGTTTCTTTGTGATTCTGTAAATAATATCTGTATTCTAATTCAGGGACTGCATCCCTCAAAATACGTGAAGGTTGAACTGAGCACTGTTAAACAATATAGCAAAGTATTGCGATGTCAACTATCAACTGTGACAGCTGCCATTGATGAGCGGCAGTATATTTGTATTGGACATGAAAGATATAACTGTCTGAAAACAAAACAGACAGGTTCACGTCTAAATATTTAAGTACATAATTAACCCTCTGATGCATGAATTATTAAATCACAAAGTAATACTTTTTTTACATGTTTGTTTTTACTTTTAAACAAGTGAAAAATCATGCCAACATTTTTTTTGTCAATATATTATATTTTGAGGGAGTTACATATATGTCCACTGTAGTGGACACCATGCATCAAAGGTATAAAAAGTGAATCAATAGAACTAAATGTGTGGTCTTAAAAAAAGTTTTTAAAATATTTGCTATGTGAAAATGGTTTGAATACACATAAGAACATTCAATAACAACAAGCTATGTCATGACGGCACAGAAATGTGAAGTGTAACAAACAAAATGTAAGAGTGTGTGTCTATGGGCCTGGGGCTGTGGGGTTGGTGGGCTATTCATACACATGTGAGCACAAATACAAACACACACAAGCACACACACCCTCCTACCACACACTCGAACACAATCATGCACACATATATCTGTGTGCATGATTGTACATGTATACATGCCTACACTTTTATATTACCTAATAAATAAATATAGACTGTAAGCATTGAAATAAATGATAAAATCTGAAGACTATTTAATAGTTCTGTTCAATAAAACCATTCAAGTGTAAATTATGTCATAATTTTAATAAAACACAAAATAAGGCAGAACCTATATATAGGCCCATAGGCAGAATTATACCCTTTGGTGCATGACGTCCACTGTAGTGGACAGAAAAATATTGTTAAAATCTGGATGAATCTATTTTTTGTACCTGTCTGGTTTTCTGAGAATAAAAGTATTTAACACTTATTCCTGAGGTACATGGTGCATCACCTTTTCCTGCCGCCATTTTGAATATATTATGCAATATCTCAAAACAAAAAAATAGATAAAAAGACAACAATTAAATAGAATCGAGAATAAACCCATCAACATTGGAACTGCTTTAAAGTTTTTTTATTTATTTTTTATTTGTAAGTATCAAAACTCATTACTTACATTTAAAAGTGTAATCCAGCATTTTTTTCTCAGAAAAAAAAAAAAAGTCATCATGTGTGCGCAATGAATCTTGGTATAGTCTGGGCCATAAGGATCCATTATTTGTATCAAGGCCGTAACCACACCTTAAACTTTGTGGGGGACCAAAAGATGGGTTTGGTCTGTCTGTCTGTCTATCTATCTACACTGAACAAAATTATAAACGCAACACTTTTGTTTTTGCCCCCATTTTTCATGAGCTGAACTCAAAGATCTAAGACTTTTTCTATGTACACAAAAGGCCTTGAGGTGATGGTCGTGGATGAATGGCACAACAATGAGCCTCAGGATCTCGACACGGTATCTCTGTGCATTCAAAATGCCATCAATAAAATGCACCTGTGTTCATTGTCCATAACATACGCCTGACCATACCATAAGCCCACCGCCACCATGGGCTACTCGATACACAATGTTGACATCAGCAAACCGCTCACCCACACGATGCCATAC